ATCTCTTTAGATCAGACTCCATTATTAATCTAGCCACGCCCGCCCTATACTAAAATCAATGGCAATTCTAAGAATTCTTAGAATCAATGAATAAAGCATGTGAACAAGTTTGTGAACAAGTTTGTGCACACAACACCTTGAAATTTACTATAGGTGTTAGTTTACAGTATGTTTTGTTATTTTTTCTCCCCATCCTCTCTATTAATAGTTAGTCTCATGTGTAGTGGTGTACGGATTTAAACCATCATCAGCTCAGTGATAGAATAATAATTAATTTAAAACTAAAGTGAACTACAAAAGTATATCTAACTCTAAAATAAATCATTTCAAAAATTTTCAATGTCATCTGGTTCGGTGTCTAATTTCTTTTTTCTAAGCTGTTTGATAAACCATTGACTAGGCTTTACACTAAGCTGCTTAAATGCAGCTATGAGAAACTGAGCCATTATGCGACCAAGCTTTTTCTCAAGTAGTGTTTCACTCATTTTGTTGGCATAATCAGTAGTCACTTTAATGGGTGGCTCAAATCCTACTGATGATTTTTTTTCAGCTTCTAATTTTATAATGCTTGGTGTCTCATTATCCTCTGTGATTATATTCTCATCTGATGTATCTTCACATGGTATATTTGGATATGTGTCTTGGTTGAGAATACTATTTTGATTGTTCTTTAAACTTTCACGTCTTTGCATTATTGAAAATGAAACTGATCGAGGTCTCATTGGTGGTGGAGGTGGAGGACGTCGACGAGGATGGCTGGTCAAAAGAGGCTATAAAGTAGCAAGGTAATAAAAGTGAGGTAATTTTATAAATTACCTTAAGCCTTGCTCTTGAATCATGTACAGGTGACATACTAGATGATTCATCCTAATTATGAATATTAAACATATTTTTGCACTACACTAATATAATATATACCTGCTTGTGTTCTTTGTCACTTAAGGATTCAGGGATTGGTTTTTCTTTTGGTACCTGGTGTGATAAATAATAAGTTTTAAACCTATATACACCAAATTTTAACTTTATTTACATCACATTTTGAGCCCACTTTTGCCTTAGAAGGTGGCATGTCTTGTGCTGACTTCTATTAATGGGATTATACCAATCATTGATAATTACATGTAACTAAATCATGCACATTACCTCTGCATCTACTTTTTGTTGACCTTCAATTTCAGCTTTTTTTATAGGTTTCTTACTTTCATTTGGAAGATCATCATCGCCTTGGAAAGCAATCATTTCCTTTTGATCATCTCCTTCATCCACAGCAGTCATACGATGACTATTAATTTTGAGAAAAAGACCCTGCTCCCTTACTCGAAAGCTGCAAGTCTCCCATAACTCTTGGAACCAGTTGTCACGATCTGGAAGACGGAGGGGGGTTGGATTATTCCTTGTTGCCACATGGTCTCCAGTTGGTATGACTGGGATGCTATTAGCAATTGATGGATCCACTTTAACTTCATTGATGAGGAATTGGTGTAACTCTCTCTTCCATATTTGTACTCTGCCCTTAAATCTTCTTTTTTCTAAGGACGCCCAAGCAGCTGTGTCATGGATGGGTGGTTCTTCTAATGGCTCATTTATATCTCTATCGTCCTTTCTGTCAACCTGTTCCATGTTAGCAAAAGTGAGGACAAAGACAGCATGATTCCAGAAACCCTGATCAAATGCTTGAGTTAACTTAATCATTGCTTTCTTGTCGTCATCTCCCAATCTTGTGTTGGTCATTTTTGTGCAATAGAGGACCAAACTTAGCTTTTTGCAAGTTTCTTTCATACTTCTTATGTATTCCTCTTCTTTTGATGTGTTATCTTGGAGACCAGGAGAATCAAAAACCACAACTGGTATGCCATTGATCTCCTTCTCAAACACTTCAACTTCTGTCGTGCACCTGGCAGCACCAGCTCCTTCTCTGGCAAATTTAGCTCCCAGTAGACCATTGATCAGTGTAGATTTTCCTTGGCCTGTCTTCCCAGTGACTAGTATCCTCAGATCTTCATTGCTGACTTCCAAGGCTTTACTCATTGCTTCTTCTGTAATTTTTATCAAGTCCCTTGATGCCTCATTTAGACCAAGATCCTTTTGTGCTTCTTGAACAGAATTCCAGAGATTACTTGGAAGGTCCTTAATATTTGGCATGTAATGTCTAATTTTCTTTAAAAAGTTCATCCTATATATATATATAATTAAACAAAACTTCTTACTATGCTGAAAGCATGCAGGTCTATCCTAGCTAACAAACTCCATATGTCTGATGCCATGCACTGCAGACTAGTCTTGCGGGACTACACTGCAGACCAGGTTGCCCTGCCATATACGGGCCAGAAATCAAAATATATGACATGATTTACTAAGTCAGTGCTCACTGCTAAGCTTTTTGAAAATAATTATTTTTGGCAAGCTTTATGGGGAATGATTAGTACATTAGCTTAAGCATTTATGTGCAACTGGAAAAGGGGTCTGGCAGGTTAAAGCAATTAGAGTCTAGTTTCAGTGACACAATTATTACTTACCCATCTGTTGGAAACTCTGTGAATTTTTCTTCTTCCTCATGCTCTTGGCATTTAGCCATTTCACCATGCAGATGCTAAGGACTGCAATGAGCTTATCTACAGCCAAAATTATAGCCAACTGAACTTTAATAGTGGGTCTTGAAATATTAAATTTATCCCTTGGAAAGTTAGTATAGAGTACCTATAGCTAATAGTAACATTTATGTTAGCTACTTTATTCACATTATATAGACAAATATTTAGCTGGTAGATAGTAGCTAAACAGTGATTTGATTCCTGGAATCAATGAATAAAGCCTGAAAAGGTAGGAGTTATGGTTATACACACAACACCTTGAATGGTATTTACTCATTTCCTGAAATGCATTGTCATGTAGCTTGTTTTAGTTCTGTCAATTGCCATATCTATCCTTTTACTATTGATGATGTAATAACTGATATTTATCACACTAAGCCATCTGGTCTTAATAATAAATACTCATCACTGATAACAAAAAAACATAATAATAAACTAAATCAATTCAGTCAGTCATTTTTTTCACCACCTTTTTTCCACCTCATAATCAATTTGATAAACCATTGACTAGGCTTAGCTATTAATTTAAGTGCTGCTTTTAAAGCTTCAGCTATTCTATGAGTAAAACTTTTGTCAATTATATCAGCACACATATTCGTAGCATAATTAGCAGTGATACGAATGGATTCATTTTGTAGCCCCTCTACCACTTTAGATTCAGTGGCATGGGTAGTCTCATCACTTTCATTATACTCATCTGCTGCATCTTCCCATGGTGTATTTTCATTTGGGCCTTCACATACTTGGATATAATCATCTTCATCACTTTGTATGTCTGGATGTACTGGTATTTCATGTTGATTATTTTGGCTATGAACACTATTTGGAATGAACCTTTCTAGTTCATTCCTTTCATATGTTGACATTATAACTGGAATTGTTGCTGACCTGGGTCTACGTCTTTTCACCTGTTATAATCTGTTAATTTAACATTTATAAAATAAACTATTTGTATACCTGAAGTTTTGGTAGGGGAAGAGAATGACTAGTTACTGTGGTGAAAGTCTATATATAATACAATAAAATTAATGTAATTTTATGATAAAATTCAACACCTTAAGCCTTGTTTTTGATTCATATCCTTCTGCACTGTTATTGCATACCATTCGTTCATGTTCTTTGACACTTAAGGATTCTTTTCCTTTTGATGCCTGTCATGCAGTAAAATGATAAATGTATACCTAGCATACCGAATGCGTTTACCTTGCTTTTGGAGTCCTCTAGTTTCTTCACAACAGGTGACATGACTGGTGCTGATACCTATAGGATTATACGAATCATCAAACTACACACAATATGTTTTGTTTAATAGAAGTCTACCTGCACTTCACCACAAATAATTGGCAATTTTTTTTCTGTTTTCTTTGGTAGATCATCAATTTGGCAAGTCCTTTGATCATCACCATCATCTTCTTCATCCACAGCAGTCATACGATGACTATTAATTTTGAGAAAAAGACCCTGCTCCCTTACTCGAAAGCTGCAAGTCTCCCATAACTCTTGGAACCAGTTGTCACGATCTGGAAGACGGAGGGGGGTTGGATTATTCCTTGTTATTTTATGATCTCCAGTTGGTATGACTGGGATACTATTAGCAATTGATGGATCCACTTTAACTTCATTGATGAGGAATTGATGTAACTCTTCCTCCCATAATTGTACTCTGCCCTCAAATCTTCTTTTCATCAGTAACTCCCAAGCAGCTGCGTCATCATTGGGTGGTTCTTCTAATGGCTCATTTATATCTCTTTCATCCTTTCTGTCAACACATTCCATGTTAGCAAATGTGAGGACAAAGACAGTTTGATTCCAGAAATCTGAACCAAATGCTTGATTTAGCTTCTTCATTGCTTTCTTATCGTCATCTCCCAATCGTGTGTTGATCATTTTAGTACAATAGAGGACCAAACTGAGTTTCTGGCAATTATCTTTCATATTTTTTATATATTTCTTTTCATTTGATGTGTTATCTTGCAGACCAGGAGAATCAAAAACCACAACTGGCACGCCATTGATTATTTTTGTGTACTCTTCAACTTCTGTTGTGCACCTGGCAGCACTAGCTCCTTCTTTTGCTACTTTAGCTCCCAGTAGACCATTGATAAGTGTAGACTTTCCTTGACCTGTCTTCCCAGTGACTAGTATCCTCAGCTCATTACCAGCTTCCAAAACTCTCATTAGTGCATCTTCTAGTTCTAGTTTGCCCCGAAAAACTTCCCCCGCAATATGTGACACTGCCATCACTGGTTTTGGTATAATATCATTCAAAGGGTTCATTTCTCGGTTTATTTTTACTGCCCACTGCAGGACTGTTGGCCTATTTTATTTTGCAATAAAACACATGTATATCAGGGCCAAAAATACTCACTTATCTCTTGGCAAGTCAGCCTCGGGCTCTGAGCCTTTGGCCGGCATCGTTTTGTGCCGTTCAGCTCGGCTTTTAGACATCATCAAAGAAATGAATCTCTCTTGGCTTTAGTGAGGCTAACTTTAAAATCCAAATTTTGTGGTGAGGCTACTAGAGTATGCTATATCCAAGAGTAGATCCTACTGTGCAATACCACCTGCTTCATCCATGTAGTATCTATGAGTGTATGTAGTATCTATCATTGAAGAGTCACATTCAGGATATTTCCGTATTTTATTTGAGTAGTTTTAGCAAGAGTAGATAATAACATAGATATTATACACGGAACAGGATTGGAAACAGGATCACGTGAGCACATTATGCATCGAAACCAACCTAGTTTGCCGGGAATTGGTGACCGTAATGGAGATGAATGGAGATACTTTGTGGGACTCTAGCAACTACATCGGACGACAAAGCAGGCTAGTGTGAGCCTTTATAGCTACCTCTCGAGGGTCTTTAGTGGAATAAGGCATCTATTAGTGCTTATATCTATATTTCAAAAAGTTATGGCGTGCTAAAATAAAGGGATCTTAAGCTAGGATGCCATTTCTCTCAAACTAACAGATGTGCACTATAACAAATGTCTTAGTCCACTGTAGGATGTTAAGAAGTAGCTATAGAGCTAGATACCTTGTCATAAAACTGCCGGGTATTGTCTAGAAAGTCCCACAAAGTATTTTAACAATCTCCATTCATCTCCATTACGGAATTCAAAT